CTTCCAGAGCTGAGATATCGAAACTCAAAAATTCGGCCCGAAAAAAAAACGACAGTGGTACCCCTTACGTTTTTTTTTTTTTCGGGCGAAAAATTAAGTTTCTCCAATCTTCCCAAAACTCTGGATTCTGATAGAGGGCCATGAGACTTAGACCTGAGTGCAAAAATGGAGGCTCTAGCCTTCCAGAGCTGAGATATCGAAACTCAAAAATTCGGCCCGAAAAAAAAACGACAGTGGTACCCTTACGTTTTTTTTTTTTTTCGGGCGAAAAATTAAGTTTCTCCAATCTTCCCAAAACTCTGGATTCTGATAGAGGGCCATGAGACTTAGACCTGAGTGCAAAAATGGAGGCTCTAGCCCTTCCAGAGCTGAGATATCGAAACTCAAAAATTCGGCCCGAAAAAAAAACGACAGTGGTACCCCTTACGTTTTTTTTTTTCGGGCGAAAAATTAAGTTTCTCCAATCTTCCCAAAACTCTGGATTCTGATAGAGGGCCATGAGACTTAGACCTGAGTGCAAAAATGGAGGCTCTAGCCCCTTCCAGAGCTGAGATATCGAAACTCAAAAATTCGGCCCGAAAAAAAAAACGACAGTGGTACCCCTTACGTTTTTTTTTTTTGGGCGAAAAATTAAGTTTCTCCAATCTTCCAAAAACTCTGGATTCTGATAGAGGGCCATGAGACTTAGACCTGAGTGCAAAAATGGAGGCTCTAGCCCTTCCAGAGCTGAGATATCGAAACTCAAAAATTCGGCCCGAAAAAAAAAACGACAGTGGTACCCTTACGTTTTTTTTTTTTCGGGCGAAAAATTAAGTTTCTCCAATCTTCCCAAAACTCTGGATTCTGATAGAGGGCCATGAGACTTAGACCTGAGTGCAAAAATGGAGGCTCTAGCCCCTTCCAGAGCTGAGATATCGAAACTCAAAAATTCGGCCCGAAAAAAAAACGACAGTGGTACCCCTTACGTTTTTTTTTTTTGGGCGAAAAATTAAGTTTCTCCAATCTTCCAAAACTCTGGATTCTGATAGAGGGTATGAGACTTAGACCTGAGTGCAAAAATGGAGGCTCTAGACCCTTCCAGAGCTGAGATATCGAAACTCAAAAATTCGGCCCGAAAAAAAAACGACAGTGGTACCCCTTACGTTTTTTTTTTTGGGCGAAAAATTAAGTTTCTCCAATCTTCCCAAAACTCTGGATTCTGATAGAGGGCCATGAGACTTAGACCTGAGTGCAAAAATGGAGGCTCTAGCCCCTTCCAGAGCTGAGATATCGAAACTCAAAAAATTCGACCCGAAAAAAAACGACAGTGGTACCCCTTACGTTTTTTTTTTTTTTGGGCGAAAAATTAAGTTTCTCCAATCTTCCCAAAACTCTGGATTCTGATAGAGGGCCATGAGACTTAGACCTGAGTGCAAAAATGGAGGCTCTAGCCCCTTCCAGAGCTGAGATATCGAAACTCAAAAATTCGGCCCGAAAAAAAAACGACAGTGGTACCCCTTACGTTTTTTTTTTGGGCGAAAAATTAAGTTTCTCCAATCTTCCCAAAACTCTGGATTCTGATAGAGGGCCATGAGACTTAGACCTGAGTGCAAAAATGGAGGCTCTAGACCCTTCCAGAGCTGAGATATCGAAACTCAAAAATTCGGCCCGAAAAAAAAACGACAGTGGTACCCCTTACGTTTTTTTTTTTGGGCGAAAAATTAAGTTTCTCCAATCTTCCCAAAACTCTGGATTCTGATAGAGGGCCATGAGACTTAGACCTGAGTGCAAAAATGGAGGCTCTAGACCCTTCCAGAGCTGAGATATCGAAACTCAAAAATTCGGCCCGAAAAAAAACGACAGTGGTACCCCTTACGTTTTTTTTTTTTCGGCGAAAAATTAAGTTTCTCCAATCTTCCCAAAACTCTGGATTCTGATAGAGGGCCATGAGACTTAGACCTGAGTGCAAAAATGGAGGCTCTAGCCCCTTCCAGAGCTGAGATATCGAAACTCAAAAATTCGACCCGAAAAAAAAACGACAGTGGTACCCCTTACGTTTTTTTTTTTTCGGGCGAAAAATTAAGTTTCTCCAATCTTCCCAAAACTCTGGATTCTGATAGAGGGCCATGAGACTTAGACCTGAGTGCAAAAATGGAGGCTCTAGCCCCTTCCAGAGCTGAGATATCGAAACTCAAAAATTCGGCCCGAAAAAAAAACGACAGTGGTACCCCTTACGTTTTTTTTTTCGGCGAAAAATTAAGTTTCTCCAATCTTCCCAAAACTCTGGATTCTGATAGAGGGCCATGAGACTTAGACCTGAGTGCAAAAATGGAGGCTCTAGCCCCTTCCAGAGCTGAGATATCGAAACTCAAAAATTCGGCCCGAAAAAAAAACGACAGTGGTACCCCTTACGTTTTTTTTTTTGGGGCGAAAAATTAAGTTTCTCCAATCTTCCCAAAACTCTGGATTCTGATAGAGGGCCATGAGACTTAGACCTGAGTGCAAAAATGGAGGCTCTAGCCCCTTCCAGAGCTGAGATATCGAAACTCAAAAATTCGGCCCGAAAAAAAAACGACAGTGGTACCCCTTACGTTTTTTTTTTGGGCGAAAAATTAAGTTTCTCCAATCTTCCCAAAACTCTGGATTCTGATAGAGGGCCATGAGACTTAGACCTGAGTGCAAAAATGGAGGCTCTAGACCCTTCCAGAGCTGAGATATCGAAACTCAAAAATTCGGCCCGAAAAAAAACCGACAGTGGTACCCCTTACGTTTTTTTTTTTTGGGCGAAAAATTAAGTTTCTCCAATCTTCCCAAAACTCTGGATTCTGATAGAGGGCCATGAGACTTAGACCTGAGTGCAAAAATGGAGGCTCTAGACCCTTCCAGAGCTGAGATATCGAAACTCAAAAATTCGGCCCGAAAAAAAAACGACAGTGGTACCCCTTACGTTTTTTTTTTTTTGGGCGAAAAATTAAGTTTCTCCAATCTTCCCAAAACTCTGGATTCTGATAGAGGGCCATGAGACTTAGACCTGAGTGCAAAAATGGAGGCTCTAGACCCTTCCAGAGCTGAGATATCGAAACTCAAAAATTTGACCCGAAAAAAAAACGACAGTGGTACCCCTTACGTTTTTTTTTTTTCGGGCTAAAAATTAAGTTTCTCCAATCTTCCAAAACTCTGGATTCTGATAGAGGGCCATGAGACTTAGACCTGAGTGCAAAAATGGAGGCTCTAGCCCCTTCCAGAGCTGAGATATCGAAACTCAAAAATTCGGCCCGAAAAAAAAACGACAGTGGTACCCCTTACGTTTTTTTTTTTTCGGGCGAAAAATTAAGTTTCTCCAATCTTCCCAAAACTCTGGATTCTGATAGAGGGCCATGAGACTTAGACCTGAGTGCAAAAATGGAGGCTCTAGACCCTTCCAGAGCTGAGATATCGAAACTCAAAAATTTGACCCGAAAAAAAAACGACAGTGGTACCCCTTACGTTTTTTTTTTTGGGCGAAAAATTAAGTTTCTCCAATCTTCTCAAAACTCTGGATTCTGATAGAGGGCCATGAGACTTAGACCTGAGTGCAAAAATGGAGGCTCTAGACCCTTCCAGAGCTGAGATATCGAAACTCAAAAATTCGGCCCGAAAAAAAAAACGACAGTGGTACCCCTTACACTTTTTTTTTTTTCGGGCGAAAAATTAAGTTTCTCCAATCTTCCCAAAACTCTGGATTCTGATAGAGGGCCATGAGACTTAGACCTGAGTGCAAAAATGGAGGCTCTAGCCCCTTCCAGAGCTGAGATATCGAAACTCAAAAATTCGGCCCGAAAAAAAAACGACAGTGGTACCCCTTACGTTTTTTTTTTCGGGCGAAAAATTAAGTTTCTCCAATCTTCCCAAAACTCTGGATTCTGATAGAGGGCCATGAGACTTAGACCTGAGTGCAAAAATGGAGGCTCTAGCCCCTTCCAGAGCTGAGATATCGAAACTCAAAAATTCGGCCCGAAAAAAAAACGACAGTGGTACCCCTTACGTTTTTTTTTCGGGCGAAAAATTAAGTTTCTCCAATCTTCCCAAAACTCTGGATTCTGATAGAGGGCCATGAGACTTAGACCTGAGTGCAAAAATGGAGGCTCTAGCCCCTTCCAGAGCTGAGATATTGAGATATTTATAATGGCATAAATGCTGCGTGGGATGTCAATATCTCAGCTCTGGAAGGGTCTAGAGCCTCCATTTTTGCATTTTTATTCCAAATTTGTTTATTGTGAAATTCTCCAGAAGTTGAAAAAGGGGGCTGACATGTGATGTCCATTGTAATGGACACAGGGTCTGAGTGGGTTAACCATATTTATGTTTTTAACTTAGTTTTCAGCAAATATATCAATATTAATATTCATACAAATTAATAAAGCATACCAATCATTACCAATTATCAATCATGTTGAAAAAAAATCATAATTTCTCATTACTAGCCTATTATCATTTCATATTTTTTAATTCAATTGTTTATTTTTATTAACCAATCAATATTTTTTTGATTACCAATTGACAGAAGTAAACTGTGTAGCTGACTTGATGTTTAGCTGACAGAATGTTTATATATATATATATATATATATTATAGCGATTCTTTTTGAAAAAGTAGCGATTCTTTTTGAATAAATATAAAAAATATAATTATACATTTATTAGAATGTAATTATATGTTTATTATATTATTACAGATTTATTACATTATTATACATTTGTTACTAAGTAATTATACATTTATTACAGTGTTATTTCACATTTGTTACATTATTCTTTTTGAAAAAGTAGCGATATATTGAAGTTGTGGTTTAAAAATAAACATTCTGTTAGCCAAACATTTAGTATTTCCATAATTATATGTCGTAATTGTTTAATTTTTTGATTTTGCAAATGACTATTGCATGGTACAAATGATACAGTATTTAATTTTCCATTAAAGTAACGAAAGATGGAGTGAATCACACAGCCCTTCCTCTGAGGTTTGATGTGTTTGTGTTCAGGACGAGGGCTCTGTTCGTGGAGTTTCCCGTCTATAACATCAACACTGATCTGTTGGCCGTCTTCTCGTTCCTGCTGGAGTTCCCTGTATCGGAGCGCGCTCAGTTGAGTCTGGACCTCAAAACCTGCAGCCTCCACATGCTCAGTCACGGCATGGACCTGCCCCTGTTCCTCACGGTAACCGTCAGCCAATCACAAAGCGGATCCCATTATTTATATCAATACTATTGTGCCGTCTAAATGAAGGCAAAGGTGCAGTCTGTGATATATTTTTGTGTGTGTGTGTGTGTGTGTGTGTGTGAATTGCAAGCAACAGAAGTTAGAGTAGCCAGTTAAGCAATCAGGTGTCTTTAACAAGAAAAATTAAGAAATTAAATATATTAAATTATTAAGTAAATATTATTGTTACTCGCACTGCCACTGTAGAAACATGTCGGCACATTTCAATGTAAGGGAACCCACGTGTGTGTAGATAGAAAAGGCTTATTCTGAGGTAATAAAAACGTAACAATTCATTATGTAAGGTCTTTATACACCACTGAAAACATAGTTATGTATATGATATTGCATTTCTGTCTACAGATCCTCCTAAATATTACACAATGTTCTCTCTTTCCATCACAGCTCCTCCTGCTGGTCTTCGTGATCTATTTCGCTGTCCGTGAGGGCGTGATTGTCCGGAAACAGGGGCTTGGCTACTTCCTGCGCTTGTGGAATATAGCAAGTGTTTGCAGTCTGCTATTGGCGATTTGTGTCGTCTCTTTACACCTGAGTCGCTCCGTTCTGTCCGCCCGCCAGTGGGGCTCATTCCTACAACAACAGGACACATTCACAGACTTCTTTCCTCTGGCCCAACAGAACCAGGTTTTGACCCAACTGAGCGCGGCTTTGCTCTTCCTGCTGGTGCTCAAGGTGAGCGAATGGGAATCGAACACATGACTTTGGTTTTGTTAGCAAAATGCTTACAGTTTGATAGTTCATCTAAAAATGAAAATTCTGTCATCATTTAATCACCCTCGTAGTCCCACAAACCCACTATTTTTATAATGGCATAAATGCTACATGGGATGTCCATATCTCAGCTCTGGAAGGGTCTAGAGCCTCCATTTTTGCACTCAGGTCTAAGTCTCATGACCCTCTATCAGAATCCAGAGTTTCAAGAAGATTGGAGAAACTTATTTTTTCACACCAAAAAAAAAAACGAAAGGGGTACCACTGTCGTTTTTTTGGGGGGTCGAAATTTTGAGTTTCTCCAATCTTCTTGAAACTCTGGATTCTGATAGAGGGCAAAGAGACTTAGATCTGAGTGCAAAAATGGAGGCTCTAGACCCTTTCTGAGCTGAGATATTGAGATATTTATAATGGCATAAATGCTACGTGGGATGTCCATATCTCAGCTCTGGAAGGGTCTAGAGCCTCCATTTTTGCACTCCGGTCTAAGTCTCATGGCCCTCTATCAGAATCCAGAGTTTCAAGAAGATTGTAGAAACTCAAAATTTCGACAAAAAAAAAAAACGACAGTGGTACCCCTTTCGTTTTTTTTTTTGTGCGAAAAAATAAGTTTCTCCAATCTTCTTGAAACTCTGGATTCTGATAGAGGGCCATGAGACTTAAGGCCATTGCACACTGAGCACGAAATATTCGTATGCGTATTTTCGTGTTCGTCAGCCTAAAAATTCGTCACGCATAGAATCCTTGCACACCGAGTCCGTTGCGTATTTATTAAACCTTTGCGGGAAAAAACGCAAAAATACCAAATGGATTCGTCAAGCAGTGAGGATGATTTTTGCCCTCTCTCTTATTGAAAAGAGAAGAAAGAGAAAATATTACGTCCATCCAATCCTGAATTGCGCCGAGAGGAAGGAGAGTTCCTTATCAATGAGTTGCGAATTTATCCTGAGCGATTCAAAATTTACCTCAGAGTGTCAGTGGGACAGTTTGATGCTTTGCTAGCGATTCTGGAGCCACATATTAAAAACAAGACCACCAATTTCCGTGAACCAATCGATTCTGAACGGAGACTGGCAGTGTGTCTGAAATGGACCAGGTATGGACACACACACACGGACAAACACACACCCGCGCGCGGCCCGTTGGAAGCGCTGGGCAGACAGAACAGCTAGGCTGTTATTGTGTATATTGTGCCCAAATAATACATTAGTTATCGAATTGGCTGCTCAATCACACCTTATTCGATCCTAAATTTCAATCTGATTGAAAGGGGAGGTTTATTAATTTCATAATCCAATATAGAGAAGAGAACATAAACACTTGATCGAATTGAAAACCGAAAGCACGGCGCATTTGTGCAATGAGGACGAGCTCCCCCCGGCCCTGAATTGTCAAAAGACCTCTCAAAATGCTGGCCCTGGATGCGAAAAACGCAGAAAATCGAACCCGATCCGATTAATTTTATGACGGACGAAAGTTTCGGAGGCGGTGTGCAAGCGTGACTGACATAACGTGAGGTCGAATTTTTTTTTTAACGTGCGAAAATTTCGGATGCGAATTTCGGACTCGGTGTGCAATGGCCTTTAGACCTAAGTGCAAAAATGGAGGCTCTAGACCCTTCCTGAGCTGAGATATTGAGATATTTATAATGGCATAAATGCTACATGGGATGTCCATATCTCAGCTCAGGAAAGGTCTAGAGCCTCCATTTTTGCACTCAGGTCTAAGTCTCATGGCCCTCTATCAGAATCCAAAGTTTCAAGAAGATTGGAGAAACTTATTTTTTCACACCAAAAAAAAAATACGAAAGGGGTACCACTGTCGTTTTTTTTGGGGGTCAAAATTTTGAGTTTCTCCAATCTTCTTGAAACTCTGGATTCTGATAGAGGGCCATGAGACTTAGACCTGAGTGCAAAAATGGAGGCTCTAGACCCTTCCAGAGCTGCGATATGGACATCTCAGAATTCTGTCCATTGAAAGTCCATTTCTTCAAAACTCTGATGCTTAGAAACGTTCATGATAAGATTGTAAAAGAAATCCATATGAATCGAGGAGTTTAATCCAAGTCTTCTGAAGAGACACAATCGTTTTAAGTGGTGAATAGATATTACTTTAGGCTTTGATGCACATATAAACTTGGATCAATGAACATACAGTACATAGAGCCCTCAGATGTGGTAAAGGGAAGCTAAAATGTACTTGCATGAGAACAAACCTCATTGGTTCTCCTCAAAACTGTACTCGCGAGATTGGACCTCATTGGTTCTTGCGAAAGCTCAAACGTTCATGAGTTTGCCAATTTTGAGTGCTCTATGGACGTTCGCTGACCAAATAAAATTACTTGGTGTAGCTGTAAATTTCAGACTTGATAACTAGAAGAACGAGCCATTGTGCCCTTGAGGAAGGCACTTAACTTCAGGCTACTTCAGTGAGATTGCCTTGCTAATAAATGTGCTGTGAGTTAGTTTCAACAAAAAAAAAGTTATAAATTCCATCCTCATGCTCTTCTCAGGCCAGACAACACTAAATATTTAATTCTGCAATAACTAATGATTTGAAAATACATTTTACTGTGAGGCATCATTGTTCAGCCGCCTCATTTCTCTCTGTCTAGGCTTCGCACCAACTGCGCTTCATGAGAGAATGGGGGGTTTTCGGGAGGACGCTGAGGAGATCTTTCTGGGAGATGCTGACGGTTGCCATCACTCTTCTCGTGTTCCTGTTGGCATACTCACACACTGGACACTTGGTTAGGACACACACACACACCATCTGTGATTTAATGTGATTTAAACTATAGAGTTGGACAATGAAACTGAAACAGCTGGTTTTAGACCACAATCATTTATTAGTGTAGTGTAGGGCCTCCTTTTGCGGCCATTACAGCATCACATGTCAGAGGCCAGAGGGATTTGACCCATTCCTCTTCCAGAACAGTGGCCAGGTTTCAAACATTTTCTGACTCGCTCCTCCAAAAAACCCAAAAGTGGCTCAAAATATTCATGTGTTGACTATAAAAGCCATTCACTTTCATGTTTATCAAACAGAAGTCTTGCTGTGTGTATTGGTGTATTATCATGCTGATATCCCTTCAGGGTACAATTTTTGAACCATTGGCAAATGGTCCTCCAGAATGGTTGGGTAGTATTTGGCGGTGATGCCCATCAAGCACAGTAGGGAATGCTATGATATCGCTGCCCAAACCATCACTGATGCCTTACCCCATTTTGTTCACTCTGGGCAGCAATAGTCTGGGTGTTGAGCTTCTCCTACAGATATGGGTAGGACACTGATGGTGGACTCATCGGAGAACAATACACATTGTCCACAGCCCAAGATTAGACACCAATGAAACATTTGGCTTTGGCACTAGTGACCAAAGATTTGGCTGTAACAGCCCGACCATGAATAAACAGTTTTGATGGAAACTGGAGAGTCGAGGTGCGCATTGAATACTGCAGTGAGTCGGGAAGCTGTGGTTTAATGTTTTTTGAATACAGTCCGGATTAGTACCTGGTCGTCCATTTCAGACAGCTTCAGTTACTCCTGTTGGATGGGGTTCGTCCTTCATGGAGGTATCCCGACGTTACCTATAGATACACCACAAAGACTTGCTGTCCTGCTCACAGATGAGCCAGTACATTTTTATTTTAATATAAAAAAAAAACACATTGAGTCGTGATTATCCTGATGACCTGCATGCATAACCAAATGCAGAGGAAACAAGAATTAAATACATATATTAGATATCATAAAGGACATGAGTTTATAAAAGCACTCTATGATTTATCTGAACTGAAGGTTCGTGTCTTTTAATTGTGTACATAATTGAGGACCTTGATGCTGGCTAAATTACACTTTACAAATTTCCAACCGAGGGAGGTAAAACTTGGTATGCTGAAGTGACCTTGACCTTCTTTAAAACAGGCGGCAAAGGCCGGATATTGTTATTAGTTGTTTAAGTCAAGCGTCACTATCGCTATTACTCATACAGGGGGATAGAATTGTAATCAAATACACAAACCTTATGTATTAAACATGAGGGCATAACGTGTTCCACACTATTTGTGCTCAAATCATGCGGCTTGAGGAGAGGGTGCAAAATTACATATACTTTATAGGTAAGACAGTTAATAAAATCATATTGGGGGTTGGCTCTTTTGGGCCAGTATCAACCATCAATTTAGAGTGCCTTAGCAACCACATAATAGTGACCAAGCAACTGCTTAGCAACACCCTGACAACCACTCAAGGATTGTGGGTTGAGTTGTATATGTCAATGCATACATTTACAAATGTGTTTGTGCATGAATCCGAACACACCACCCTTTCTTTCTTCCTGAATTATTAAATCCAAGTTCTTGGCTGTTTGCATACAATAAGTGCAACAAATGTTGGCACAATGCTGAAGCAGATGTAAGAGGCTGTTAAATTATCTCCCTCACTCACATAGATTACTTAATGGGTCAGTTATGAACCATTATTGTGCATATTATATCTGTTAAAAGCAGTCTGATCTGATCAATAAATCTAACTTCTGCTCTTTTCTCTCTGGATTTTGTCCTGAAGAGTGTTTGCCAAGAGTTTAGCAAAATCTTATAACAAGCACTTTCTTTTTTTTCCTTCTAGATTTTCCACTCTGTCATGGAGGGCTACGGAACTGTTAGCTCTACTTTCTTGAAGTTGCTTGGCTCTAGTGGGCGTGGACTGTTGTCATGGCGACCAGACAGTGGCTCCTCCCCATGTTCTGCTTCCTGCTTCATCTTCCACATTAGCTTTACTCTACTCAGACTCGTTTTGCTGTGGCTTTTGGTCTCGGCTTTGCTAAGGAACTATCGTCGGGCAAGGGCGGAACTGTACCGTCCAGCCGTTGACCTACAGGACTATGAGATGGTGGAGTTGTTCCTGCGACGCCTCAAAATGTGGATGGGGCTCAGCCGTGCTAAAGAGGTGTGTGTGTTTACAAAATACCCAAGATTTTGTCGTCTCCAAGTTTTTACCAATGTAGCAAGTCTGGTATAGGTCACGCAAGTATCTGATGTGATTAGGCACTCTATGTAGGTTCATAGGATCACAAATTGATGATTCTATCTGAGGCACTTTGTTTATTTGCCAAACCTGAGTTGCTCATTTTGCCCATAGTCCCTTGATCCCTAGAGTAGATTTTTAGTACAGAAGATTTTAAGATTTGCAGAGCAGAGAGATTCCCCCTGAACCACATTGTCTTGATAAAGCAGTATTGCAGAACTTGTTAACTATAGGTGTGGCATAGTGGCTAAAGCTTATAAAAGGTTGCTGGTCAAGCCCTCCAAGGAACAAACCATGAACAGTTACCTTTGTGCTCTTGAGGACACCTTTCCCAGGTTTCTCCCAACAGATTGTCCATAAAAAGTGCACCGTAAGTTCCTTTGGTGACATACTAGAAAGTCAGTAAACAAGTTAGTCATTATCCAGTCTTTCAGATTGATCCTTCAGCCTTATCTTGACCCTTTATCCCTTTCTTTCCTGATAGTTCCGGCACAAGGTGCGATTTGAAGGTATGGAGCTCCCGCCTTCACGTTCCTCTTCAACAAGTGACTGCAAGTCCTTGTGTCTTCCTCCTCTGGACACTCCAGAGGCTCCCCCATCTCCCGACAGTGTTGATGGAGGATCTGAGGCCTCTTGGCGGCCCACTTCCAGCAGCCCTTGCAGTCTGGCTGAAGCCCCGGGTCTGGGACTTGGCCTTACCTTAGGCCTTGGGGTGATAGTTGGAGGCCAAGGCTGGAAAGAGAGAGCCGAGATGGAGGCAACGCTCCGCAGAATCCTCCCAGCTTTCGATGCTTTGCTTCTTCAGCTGGACCGGGTCACCCATGCCACAGAGGAATTGTATCGAACAGAGTGCCGTCTAGAGAGGCTGCTGAGGAAGAGCAGAGGACGGGGCAGAGGGATACGCCGCCACAGAAGTCTGGAGTCTGCGGGACAGAAGAGACATGGATACAAGGAGGCAGACAGGAACACACAAGTGGCAGAGATTAGCAAAAGTCCCTCGATAACTGGAATGAGTGCATCCGTGTCCGAGAGAAATCTTCACAAGAGAGACGGAAGGTCAAGGAAATCAGGCAACTTCTCACAAATCACCAGTGGCCTTCCCACAAGTCTCAATAAGGTAGACTCCAGTCCCCACAGGACCGATAGTCTCCAAAAGACTCAAGAAATTCTCAGCACCGTGGTGGTAGAAGTCAGCAAGACAGAGAAAGACCCTGACAAAGCAAGTCCCCCTGAGGAGGACAGTAGTCCACCCAGAGTCCAAAAAGCTGACACGGCTTCTCATAAAGTAAAAGGAACCTCCAAGGTTGACCCAAACTTCCAAAGAGACTCTGAGGTTGTTGGCTGTGCCAACAAACCTGCCCCTACCCCCGTTCCCACTCCAACGTCTACTCCCTCAACTGCTCCGGTTTCTGCAATAACTACCCCAGTACCGATCCCTCGCTCCCATGAGTGGGTTCCTCCAAGCAACAGCGAGAACCTTCCCTCCAGTGTATTCCGGCACCCTGCACACACTACTACGAATCCCACCCGCAAACGCAAGCACAAACCTCCCCCTCTTAAAAACAAGGTGCACCCCAACACAGACAGACCAATCTCAGGGCATCCCAAACCTTGACATCCCAAGGTTCCAACAATCAGTATGCAAGTAAAGGCAGATTTTAGGAATCGAGTCATAAAGCTAAGGGACGTTGAAGCTCAAGGGTTACGGCCTTTCATGAGGAAACGAGGACCTGGTGACAGCAGGTTTTGTAACCATGTCCTCAAGAAGAGCAAATGCAAGACGTTTCTCAAACAAAACCAAATAATAGACCATAGCCTTAGGCTCCAACCAATTGGATCGACCTTACTAGAAGTCACAAGATGGAAACTAGGTGCAGGTCACCATGGTTTTTACAATCCTCAAGAAGTTTATTCGATGCAAGTTGCCCTTTTCCTTCACCTCTCGCAGTGACCTCAAGTCCAACCTCTTGACCCTGGTGGTCAACTGAGTTGAAACCGACAAGAGCACAACTTGTGCCGTCGCAGAAACAAAACAAACTCTTGAAAGAGACAATGAAGGACTACAACAGCACGCGCCTGTTGATGCAGGATGGCTAAAGTTTGATGGTACTTTGTCTTACAATGTTTTTAGTAATGTTTAATGAATCGTGTTCTTTTTTTTGTGTTGTTGTTGTTGTTGTTGAAGGAAGCTATGTTAAGGTCATGGGTGTATGTATTGCCCATCGATGCAGAATAGGCACAACTTATTCAGAAAGGCTCACACTGACAGACTCGCACACAAACAGACACAAGACACACCTAGATTTGCGGGTACATACTTGTTACGGTTCCTTTCCTTTGTTACGGGAGCTTTGAGGTAGAATTAATGCTTTTTAATATAGGGAAATAGACGCAAAAAACATATCTTGAACATATATAGACTTGTATGATTTCCCCACCTACACACTCACACTAACATACTTCTGAAGAGGCCATCAGGGTGCTAAACAACTAGTAATCCTCAGGATTTCACATGTATATCTTCCGACATAATTGCATGTCTTCGCCATTCATAGGTTTTTTAGAGTGAAATGGACCCGAGGGCAAGTAAGAGAAGATTAAAATAGAAGGAAAACTGAGAGAAGGGAAACGGTGTCAGAAATCGTAAGTAAGAATTGGGATACGTTAATAGAAGGACATGAAAAGGTAGATGAAGGGAAATGTTAAGGGAAAGCTATGTCCCTCATTCAAGCACAACTCCCAGAATTCTCTCTATGGGGATTTCTTGTTCATTGTTGAATTATTATTGTAAGTAGTTTGTTAATTCATGAAAAATCAGCTTATTATATATTGCTGCCTTCTATGATGTTTTGAATCTAATTTAAAAAGCACTTTGTATTGATGTTATAAAATGAATGATTGTGAGTGATGGCATCAGTGTGATTTAAGTTTGAATGTGTTATGGAAAATGTTTTGCAGAAATAATCAAATAAGCTTGGTACGAACATAAGAGATGGTTACAACAGCGTATAATTTTACCAAAGCTTGCTACTCGAGTAAGAAGAGATTAACTTAAAGTTTCTTTTGTACTTAGCACTTTATTTCAATGTCAAGCTTTAGTGCTTCGCCATACTTAACTAGTGTGTAAGCTTTCCAAAACTATTCTCTTTGAGTATTATACACAAGCTGCGTCAGGATGATAATTACCATTAATATTTTTCATGTATTGGTCTGTATAATGTGTTGATTTTATGAAGTACTAAAATAACGTTGTTTACCGTGATGACGCTCAGGGACCCTTTTCGTAAAAACTCAAACCAGGATTTGTTTTTGTTTTCGTTTGTTTGTAATGGCTTCAATCCATACAGTACATGTATTAAGGTCATTAGAGTAGTTGAGAGTAATTGGATGATGAATCGATTGAAACAGATCCGCTACAGGGAGTTTTGATTCTGTCAAACGTCACGTCCACTATAGTAACGTCCTTATTCAGGCCATTCCAGATGAAGTTTTGAAAGGTCGTGTTTATCTGTACATATTGGTGTGCCCTGATGTAAATATTGTATTAGAGTTTGATTGCATTTTTAAAATCTCATTTGCCTTAACTGCACTGAGAGGAAATTTTGTTTCCATTACACAAAATGGACGTTGGGATGTACACTCATTTCACACAAATGCTTTGCTGCATATTTCATTTCACCTTGGTGTCGACCAAAGGAAAAAAAATGCCCAAAAGTATGAAATCATTGCTTTTCAACTAATTGAACTACACTCAGCACAAGCGGTCATTTTAAAATACAATGGCTTTTTAGTAGTTCTTTGCAGGACAGTGCTCCCGCTGAAATATTTCATACTTTTAGAAGGCATGTGTGTCAGAAAGATTTCAAGCCAGTCACATGTGCCAAAACCAACTTGCATAAAATAATGTAAAGTCGTACAGTTTTCGTATTAAATGCTGAAGGTAATGTGTCGATTGCAGGTTTGCTATTCTGTGTAACTTTGTAGCACTTCGCTTTACATGCTTTTGCACTTGACAAAGTCAAATAAAGAGTCTGACAGCTGAGAGTCTCCGGTTCATGTGGGGTTTCGATTCAAGGCTTTTTATTCACTCGTGCCACACAACATCAATATTGCATTGCACTTGGGAAATCGCCATCTTTCAAATCACAGCTTAAATCTCCACTCAATGGTATCTTTAGTGTTTTTTTAGGGCAGGGGTGTCCAAACACTGTCCTGCAGAGGTCAACACACCCACTTGGAAGTTCATAGTACACATAGTAAGATCTTTATTAGGTGCTTTAGGTGTGTTTACAGGATTAGCTAACTTAAAAAAAAAAAAAAAAAACTTTTGCCGATAATTTACTCACCCCCATGTCATCCAAGATGTCCATGTCTTTCTTTTTGTTGAAAAGAAATTAAGGTTTTTGATGAAAACATTCCAGGATATTTCTCCATATAATGGACTTCAATGGGAACCAAACGGTTCAAGGTCCAAATGAGAGTTTCAGTGCAAACTGCTCAAAGGGCTTTAAACGATTCCAGACGATGAATAAGGGTCTTATCAAGCGAAACGATCGCTCATCGTTAAAAATGAATACAAAATTAAGTTTCTTTTTCGAATCTTTTTTCGAGGCATTTTGGTTGTTGAATGAACTAAATGACTCTAAAAAAGATTTGTTCATTTTGATGAATAAGGATAGTCACGAACGCACAGAGCAACTTTGTTATTGATTTATTAAATGAGCGATCGTTTCGCTTGATAAGACCCTTATTCATCGTCTGGAATCGTTTAAAGCCGTTTGAACAGTTTGCACTGAAACTCTCTTTTGGACCTTGAACCGTTTGGTCCCCATTGAAGTCCATTATATGGAGAAAATCCCAGAATGTTTTCATCAAAAATCTTAATTTCGTTTCAGACGTGGACATCTTGGATGACATGGGGGTGAGTAAATTATCAGCAAAAGTTTTTTTAAAGTGAACTACTCCTTTAATTGGGGTTGGAGCAGAATAGTGGCCCTCAAGGAGTAGGATTGCATACCCCTGGTTTAGGGTAAAAGTTAAAGGTGCACTCTGTAACATTTGGACCTCTAGACGTTAAAAAAAACATGCATTTTGTGGAAGAACATGGTTTTGGTTGTGCTTTGGCTCTGCAGATGAATATGATTATCCTTCAGCTAATATTTAGATTGAAAGGATCTCAAGTGAACCAGCTAATGATGTTACTTCAGCTTTGCACATTAATAGACACGCACGTCCTCGAGAATAAATTCCAGCGCAGCGCAACAATAACCATAATGAAATGAGCCTTCACAATAAATAACACTTTACAATGAGCTCTATTAGAGAGCTGTTCACCTTTCACCTGTCGAGTAATAAAAACTGTCGCTTTTACAACGCATCCGCTCGATAGTAACGCAGCCTTAAGTTTTAGAAAGTTGCATTTGCTACACTGCCATCCAAAACAACAGTTTCAAACACCAGTGAAAGCAGACTCCGAACAGCAGAAGTATCTTTGCAGATTTCAATGTTTTATTTTGGTAGCCCAAGCGCACACATGCACACGTCTGACTTTAGTGTTGCTCTATTAGAAAATGACAGAAAACAAGTAATTAGGTCAGTCATCTTTCAGCACGCTGGATTCACGTCCTCACGTCTTCAGTAACACTTGACAATAATGTTCAACACGTCAGTTAGCGTGAATGATCCGTATACAGCACTTGATGCGCGTGCTCATTTCTAAATAGTATTTGTAACATTCAAGGTTGCATTATGAAATCACGTGAACTAACGGTAAACCGCGTCTGAGAAAAGTTCGATAACTATAGAAGGGTATTGTGAAGTGCTTCCATGAAGCTGTACTGTGGCGTTGGTGTAGTTCATGTTGGCACAGCCGTGTGGACGGTTACCACATCATATACTGAGAGGAAAACAAGAGCGATTGAGTGAAACGAACGTGTGGATGAAGACGGGAAAGCGTGTGCGTCGCGATACTGCTAAAAATGGCGTGCGATAATTCCAGTACATCCATCCGTTTGTGAAATTCATTCATACCGTCAGTAAGTTCATACACCAGCTGAACGGACCTCTTCCTGCTGGCACAATGGGTTCTTCGTCCGGACTGATCTCAGTTAAAAGCACATCATGGGTCTCTCGCTACACAAAGTCTGTGAAGTCATCCACGGTGGACACGAGCCTCTTCCTCTGGCCGGCGTCCGGGTTGGAAGCAGCACCGGCGGGCTGGTGGGCGGGTTTACTCTGCATGGGGCCGTGGCTTTGAGTCAGAGAGATCCCATGAGTGGGACGGGACTGGATTTCCTCCTGAGCCTATTGATGGAGAAAAGCAAAGCCAATCCCACAATGCATTATTCACGCGATACATATCATACAGTGGTGTGAATAAGTGTTTGCCCCCATGCTAAAGTTGCCTAAAAAGAGGAATAAAAAATCATTTTTTGGATATTGATCTTAATGCCTTAGTTAGAAAAATGAGGAAAACTCCAACCTTTAAGGACACCAATTTTCTTTGTGAATGAATAATGTATCATCAATAAATAAATGTTTTTCCTTAAAATACAGGGTGCATAAGTCATTCCCCCCCTGTGTTAAATTCCCATAGAGTCAGGCAGATTTTTATTTTTAAAAGCCAGTTATTTCATGGATCCAGGATAATATGCATCCTGATAAAGTTCCCTTGGCCTTTGGGATTAAAATATCCCCACATCATCACACACAGTCAAGAGATTGGCATGGTTTTACTTCAGCTAGCCCAATAGCTGGTTTGATTCGCATTGAAAGATGATCTTATGGAAAGTACCCCATGCCAATCTCTTGGCATGGTGAATGGTGTGTGATGATGTGGGGATATTTTAATCCCAAAGGCCAAGGGAACTTTATCAGGATGCATATTATCCTGGATCCATGAAATAACTGGCTTTTAAAAATAAAAATCTGCCTGACTCTATGGGAATTTAACATAGGGGGGCAATGACTTATGTACCCTGTATTTTAAGGAAAAACATTTATTTATTTATGATAAATTATTCATTCACAAAGAAAATTGGTGTCCTTAAAGGTTGGAGTTTTCCTCATTTTTCTAATTAAGGCATTAAGATCAATATCCAAAAGATGATTTTTTATTCCTCTTTTTAGGCAACTTTAGCATGGGGGCAAACACTTATTCACACCACTGTATATGCCATTATAGAGTATAGTGAGCACTCACCCGGGTCCTGATCCTCTTGATGTGTCTCAATCTTGCCAGCCATTTTGAAGCATACGCGTCCGATGGGTTCGCCCTGGACTGGTGGACCAGCGACGCCATCTTTCCAAGACAAAGGAGAAGATTAAACACTCATAAAAAGCGTAAATTCAACGCGAAACACCTTCCAGATTGTGATGTGCTTTAGAAACACATTTCAATATAATTTCCCCAAACCGAAACACTCCTGTCTACTAATGCCTCGAGTTCAGTGGTAACCATGGCAACAAGAACGTATTAATCCACCCCTAAAACAGTCCTTGTCCCGAGCGAACCCCCGATTTAGCATGTGCCCTCCCCTGCCCTGCCGGCCATTTCGCGGCGGTTGTGCTAATTGACGGCAGAGGCAGTGGGCTGAGACTTGATGTGTAGGGTCTCGGAGGAAAGCGTTGGTGTGTGAGTCACAACGAGAACGGCCTTATTACACCGTCTCCACTTATCACAGCAGGTGGGAAGAGTTGTGAGCTCAACTATCCGAGAGAAGGAAAAAAAGCTGTGCGCGGCAAACGGTTTTCCGCCTCACGGATACAGTGGCTTTCAGTACGGAAACCAACATTTGAGCTACACACATAAATGATACCTGGAATTATAATGATTTGCACCCAAAAAAAACCCAGCTAAATGCATTAAATAATAGAGCTGGGTGAAAATATCGATTTCTCAATTTTAATCAATTCTTAAAGGGATAGTTTACCCAAAACCAATATCGGTAACCAAACAGTTGTCTTCCATACTTTACTATAGTACCAATACTCTTTAAAAAATATCTTCTTTTGTGTTCAAAAGACTACTCATACAGGTTTGGAACAACATGAGGGTGAGTAAATGATGTCACTTTTGGGTGTACTATCCCTTTAAATCCCAATAAGTGTATACTTTTCTTTGGTATTTAATATGTTTGAATAAATGCGTCGTTAAGTTATTTCAGCCACCATGTTTATATATATTTTTTAGAAACATAATTAGTTAGTATTACAACTTTATTACTATAAATAACTTACTTTAGCAATTTAAGTGTTTGTACACAGTTAATATTAAGCTTCATTGTTATAGTAATGTAGTGCCAACTGATTCCCTGTTTAACAGCTTTAGATTTAAACAGTCTGTATCTGATATCCGAATAAATAAAATATCAAAAACGAATTGAATTTTGTGTTAATACCCAGACTTATTAAATACCTTTCTGATTTGTTTTTTTGCATAGTAACACCCAGGGGTGTAAAATGTACTGGAAAAGTGAAAGTCTGGATACGCCAAAAACATACTTGAGTGAAAGAAACATGATAGAGGAGGTTTTTTTAACCATTTTCTCAATGCAAAGTGACTGATTTGAATAAATGATCCGACAGACAGACTTAGAAGGGTTTTGCTGAGGTGGAAAAACATCCATCTATGTTACACAGAACAAAAATCAGCGCAGTTGAGGACAAAAACACAGGCAAGCGCCACTCTTTAGGAAATGTAAAAGAGACAAAAGAGGAAAACAGGAGGAGTCTCACGTTGGCGTGCAGCGCCATCTGTCTCACGAGCAGAGGAAGGTTGCGGTCAGAGACGATCTTTGCCACGCTGGTGTCCACCAAACCCTCCAGATCTGCGAGAGAACGAGGAGTCACAGGGGTCAGGCTTGGGCTTCACTATAATACACACATATCTGAATGAAAGCGGGTGAGTTGAACCTTTGCGACACTGCAGCGTGACCAGGTTGCTCTCGTAGTCCAGTGGCTTTATAAGCACCTCCACAAAGTTGAACTGGCCCTGTCAACATCAACACACAAAACGTCATATTTCATGCTTCGAGGAGTGGTTCACTTTTAAAAAAAACGTTTGCTGATAATTTACTCACCCCCATGTCATCCAAGATGTCCATGTCTTTCTTTCTTTAGTTGAAAAGAAATTCAAGTTTTTGATGAAAACATTCCAGGATTTTCTCCATATAATGGACTTCAATGGGAACCAAACGGTTCAAGGTCCAAATGAGAGTTTCAGTGCAAACTGTTCAAAGGGCTTCAAACGATTCCAGATGATGAATAAGGGTTTTATCAAGAGAAACGATCGCTCATTTAATAAATAAATAACAAAGTTTAAGTTTTATAAGCTCAAATGCTCGCCTTGCTGTGTTCTGTGTGACTCTCCTGTTCGAACTCGTTTATCAAAATGAACGAATCTTTTTCATGTCAATTGGTTCATTCAGCGAACGAAATGAACGAGTTGACTCGGGAAAAGATTCGTTCATTTTGATGAACGAGATCGAACAGGAGAGTCACACAGAACAGAGCAACGTGAACATTTGAGCTTATAAAACTTAAACTTTGTTTGTTTTTTTGTTTTTTTAAATGAGTGATCGTTTCCCTTGATAAGATCCTTATTCATCGTCTGGTGTCGTAAAGCCCTTTGAACAGTTTGCAGTTTGCACTGAAACAGTCTTTTGGACCTTGAACCGTTTGGTCCCCATTGAAGTCCATTATATGGAGAAAAATCCTGGAATGTTTTCATCAAAAACCTTCATTTCGTTTCGACTGAAGAAAGAAAGACATGGACATCTTGGATGACATGGGGGTGAGTAAATTATCAGCAAACGTTTTTTTTAATAGTGAACTACTCCTTTCAGGTAGACCGAATGTGGCAAAGACAGGAATGCAGTGTAAAGGGACTGTCTCACACACCTTGATGGTGCCCAGTTTGTACTCCTCCCCGGAGTCGTTGTAAACCACCACCACGAAGTCGTTGCCGATGTGGCGCTTCTTGTTGCAGCAGCCCCTGTCGCTCTCTCGGTTCGGCATGAGAGTGGCTATGTGGAAAATGGCTGGTGGGAAGGACTGCATTAGTCAGACTCTCTTTATGAACGCCTCAGATGATCAGCTCAACTTACAGTAATGGATCACACACAGAGTCCATTCATCATACTCGAGATTGTGAAAGGTTTGCCTGTTTTCTGGCTGTTGGGGTTTTAAAGCAGCACCAAGTTACTTCTACATTCCTCTGCGGTCGCCCTACTGGTTGGAAGCGGAATTGTCCATTAGTGCTGTGCCAAATAATTTAGCCTGGCGGCTAGCGCATCCTACTGTCACGCACACGCTCGCTGTTTATCCAGCGCCGGCTTTAGAATGAACGATCTCCACAGACGAGGTAGAGTGAGTTACATGATTTCATGAAAGGATGATGTATTGCGACATCAGAAACGAAGAAAAACCAAATAATGACTATTCTAACGCTTGACGTAAAGCAACTAAAATTTGTAGTTTTCTTGCGTCTCATTAGAACTACAGAAACCCGACCTGATCTGGCGATCTTACACAGCGTGGTTGTAGCAGATATAGGACCGCAAAGCAGAGACATAAGTGCCTTTCACCCTCTTTTGAGTTACTGAGCCACTGAAACCATTTTGGAAACATTATTTTAAGGTAAAAGATCTTACTTAGTGTTGCTTTAAAGCACCTCTCTAATAATAATAATAATTAGTTATTAATAGTTGATAATTACAGAAAAGGTATAATTAGTAAGAAATAATATTAATTAAAATAATTATTAGAATGAATAATACTACTACTAATTTTAATTATTATTTTTACTGTTATACTATTATAATTTTTGACCAAAATTCAACAGTGAGTGAAGAAATACTGACTAAAAATATTATTCCCCATCCTTAAGATCTTGAATGGTCTTTCTAATAATAGTAATTATAATTAATAATAATATATATTATTATAGGTATATAATAATAATTATTAATATTATTATTATTATTATTATTAGAGTGACCTATTATTCTTATTTTAGTAATAAAAAATAATATTAAATTATAAACAAATAATAATAGATTATTATTATATAAAGACTATAATTATTATATCTCAACAGCAAGTAGTAGTAGTGAGAAAGAAAAGTAAATAATTATTAATTAGAATGAATAAAATAATTCTATGAATGTTTAATGTATTATTATTAAGAAAATTATTATTAGTAGTAAATTATTATTATAATATACTGAGTATTGTTGCTATTAATAATAACTTATTAACAGCTAGTAATACCATTAATAAGAATTATTAATTATAATAACTACTACTACTATTATTATTATAGAATATATCAATCATATAAACAATTGATTATTAAAATTAATAATAAATCTTTTTATAATTATTTTGAGTCAATTTGATTCTACAATATAATATATAGCAATATAATAGTTATTTACAAAATATATCATTATTACTATTATGAGTAATGTTAATAATTCTATATTTAAAAATTTCTTCTTCTATCACTAATAAATAAAGTGATGATGATGTGACGCTCTCACCTTGCATGATGTCATCGTGCCAGCAGTAGGTGAACTCGCCGTCGTCCCCGTACTGATCCAGTCCACCCAGGAAGATCTGGTCTGGGTCGCAGTCCTTCAGGTGGATCAGTTTCCCCAGGCCCGTCAGGAACTGTGCGTACCGGTTGGACCCGTACTCGTTGGACAGTATTGACACCTCGTTATTTGCCTGATAATAAACAACCATAGATCATAAAGACTTCCTAAAAAAACCCAATCTCAAACAGTAGGTTGGAAGGGGAAAGACGTGTACCTGGCCGGCTCCCACAAACACCACACCGATCTTGTGCGTGTCGTACGGAGGCATCTGATCCAAGACTTTAACGGCACGATCTATCAGCTGTGAACACCAGATCACACTACATTAACATCAAGCTCTGCCGCAATCAGGCCAGGGAAAAGTGTTTGGGTCCATCTCACAGACAAATGGAAATATTTCCCCACAAACTGATTTAGGATAAGTTATTTTTGGTTAAGTTTATTAGCCCAAAAATTCAAGAAATATTTAGACAGAACGAATGAATGACAGACAGAATGAATGAACGAATGAACGACAGAGAGATAGAACGAAGGAATGACAGACAATGAATGAACGGACGACAGACAGAGAACGAACGGACGAATGACAGACAGAATGAATGATGAACGACAGAGAACCTACAAACGAACAACAGACAAAAGACAGAACGAAGTAATGACACAAAATGAATGAACGAACGACAGACAGTCAGAATGAACAAACAACAGACAGAACGAACAGAATGAAGGAATGACAGACAGAGAACGAACGAACGAACGAAACAACAGACAGAATGAAGGAATGACAGACAATGAATGAATGAACGAAATACAGAAAGAACGACAGACAGACAGATCGAAAAGAACGACAGAATGACAGAAAGAGAACGAACGAACGACAGAATGACAGTACGAACGACAGAGAACGAACAACAGACAGAGCGACAGAATGATAGACAGAGAATGAACGAACTACAAACAGAACGACAGACAGAATGACAGAGAGACAGATCGAATAGAACGATGGAATGACAGACAGAACGACAGACAGACAGATCGAACAGAACGACGGAATGACAGAGTACGAACGAACGACAGACAGAACGACGGAATGACAGACAGAGAACGAATGAACGACAGACAGAACAAACAGAACGACGGAATGACAGACAGAACGAACGACAGACAGACAGAACAAACAGAACAAAGAAATGACAGAACGAAAGAACGACCGACAGAATGAACGAACGGACAAATGACAGTCAGAACGACAGACAAAACGAACAAATGAATAAATGACAGAACGAACAAATGAACAAATGAAAGACAGAAAATGAACGACAGAGAGAACGAACGGCAGACAGACAAAACGAACAACTGATGGAACGATGACAGACAGATTTGTGCTGAAATATGACATTGATGTTTTCATGAGATTCATCCCATTATAAGATGTAGGACTAACCTGAGTTTTGGGCAGCAGGAGGGGTTTGTTGGACTCGTTGCCGAAGAAGGGAGAGTGATAGAGCTGCAGGAAGACGAAACTGCAGACAGAGAGAAGAGGATCAAGGTCAGATCGACTGAACCTCCACTCCTACACCAGCGCTAAACACTGAACTCAACACCTTTCCTCTGCCTACACACTCGCCTCAGCGCACAGGAACAGATCTGAGCTAAAGGAGAAGTTTGGAGAAGATCCAGGAGCATGAGGACTGAAACACCTCAGGAGACCCATTAAATACGGCTCAGAGACACTTGGCAAATTAGGATAAAACCCCAGACTTAAAACAAACCTTGCCTTGACAATATCAAAGAGAAGACAAGCAGCACTGACAACAATACAGAGAGACATGCTCAGGAGGATGAGCAACACACAACTGCAGAAGCGATGAACAACACACCTCACAACTCGTCATTACTGGCCGGCTGTTCAACATATTCATGATACTATATAAAAATATACTTTTAGATCTATCTATCTATCTATCTATCTATCTATCTATTTATCTATCTATCTATCTATCTATCTATCTATCTATCCATCATCCATCTATCGATCCTATCCATTCATCCATCCATCATTTATCAATCCATCCATCTATCCATCCATCCATCCATCATCAATACATATATCTATCATCCATCCATCCATCCAGTCCATTTATCCCTCCATCAATCCATCAATCCATTTATCCATCCATCCATCCATCCATCCATCCATCCATCTTCCATCCATTCATCAATCCATCTATCCAATCCATCCATTCATCCATCAATTCATCCATCTATCCTTCAATCCATCTATCCATCCATCTATTCATCAATCGACTCATCAATCAATTTATCAATCCATCCATTTATCAATCCATCCATTTATCAATCCATCCATCCATCATCTATCAATACATATATCTATCCTCCCATCCATCTATCTATTCATCAGTCCATTTATCCCTCCATCCCTCCATCTATCCATCCATCCATTCATCCATCCATCTTCCATCCATCTATCCTTCCATCCATTTATCAATCCATCCCATCTATCCATCCATCCATTTATCAATCCATCATCTATCAATACATATATCTATCATCCATCCATCCATCTTCCATCCACTCATCCATTCATCAATCCATCCATCAATTCATCCATCTATCCTTCAATCCATCGATCTATTCATCAATCCATCCATCCATCTTTCTGACAAAAAAACTCAAATCATGATAAATCAAACATCACTGGCTCTCATGCAACTCATACAATCAATCAGGTACAACGAGGGGGGACATTTTTAATCAATAATTGTTACATTTCTGTACAATAACGTTTGAATATATGTTTAGTTTTGGTCAGTTTATCACACAAAGTTTATTGCATGCCTTCAGAACATGTAAAATCCACGATTAGAGGACGTTCAAAACTCTTTCCATGGAAGAAACTCCTCCTTACATGCCTCTTTCTTTTCATCACCCATACAGGAAATGTATTTTGAGTAACGTCTGTCCTTATTGGGAGGAAACTGTAGCTTTATATTGAACATGTTAAAATATGTTCACAACCATTTTAAAAGGGACTGTAGACCGTTTCAAGAAAGACAACAGCTCTAAGTGTTTGAGCGAATCCCATCACATGTCTCTGATGCATGATGGAGGAAAGTGTTTATGGGAAACTCACTCTGTTTCCTGGTGTGTATATATATATATATATAAGACAGCAAGCCAATCGATCACCGACTCTAAACTTCACGAAGATGGATGCTAGTAATTTAAAGTATTCTAATTCAAAAAGGCAACAATTTACAAGCGCTCAACTCAAAAAAGCGCCTCACTTCTCGAAATGAGCCGAGCGAGCGAAGATGACAGGATGATTTAATGTCAGCGAGGCGACGGATGATGACAGTAATGAGAAAGAATGAAGCTGTCCATATCATGCTTTGCTTCTCCTGGAAAGTGAAGCACTCGATCAAACGGCTGCCGCTCAAAACACATTACAGGTGTGTTAACGTTTGCTGAGCGTAATCACGGCTTAACGTAGACGACATCCATTACACGACTGAGCCCCGGATTTGCCGTTCGCCGTCGTGGATTATTGATGGGTTTAAATTGCAGGGTAGTTTTTTGAGCAGAAATCAACACACTATTGAGCAGGAGGCTTTCCCACACATTTTTATACAACCTGTCCCGGCATTAAAAGTATCTATAATGCACATCTTAAAATGTAAACATCTGCTAAAAATGAGACGACCAAAAAAAAACAAAAAGACCATGATGCAACGGGGCAACTGCTAGTGCTAAACACTTCATCTTCTGTGCCAAACTACAGTTCTATAGATATTATAATGTGTGATTTGTACATTTTTTGTGTTATTAATGAGGCTTATCTAATGAAAAATAATATCACCGTCCGGTGGTTTAAAGGGGCAGATGCACTTTAGGCAGATTTACTGCTTTTGTGTTCAAACTGGCAATTTAAACAAAATAATAATAACAATACACTACCATTCAAACGTTACAGGTAGTATAATTTTTCTTCAACAAGGCTGCATTTATTTGATCAAAAATACAGTAAAAACGTAAAATTAAAAATTATTTCATTTTCATTTTAAATTTAAATTGTAAATTTTAATTTAATCATTAGTCATTTTAAATTTAAATTGCAATTTAAAATGACTGTTTTCTATTTTTATATATTTAAAGATGTAATTTATTCTCAAAGCTGAATTTTCAGCATCATTACTCCATGACCCTTCAGAAATCACTCTAATATGATGATTTGATGCTCAAGAAACATTTCTGATTATTATCGGTGTTGAAAACAGTCATGCTGCTTCATATTTTTTGTGGAAACTGTGATTTAAAAAAATAAAATAAAAAAATCCAGGATTCTTTGATGAATAGAAAGTTCAAAAGAACAGCATTTATGTGAAATAATGTCTTTCCTGTCACTTTGGATCAATAAAATGCATCCTTGCTGAACAGAATAATTAATTTATTTTTCTTTAATCTGACCCTAAACAGCAGTGTGTATGTATATAAATACATGCATACACACACACACAGTATATCGATATGGTATTGATACATCATCATAAGTCCCTAATCCATTTAAGACACGATCTCGGTTTACCTGGGACTGAGTCCTGAGCTCTTCTCTGCATTGGATGGCCCTCCTCGGTTGTGGTACGAGTCTCTGTCCATCTTCCTCTCCCGGCGGGACGAGGGTGCGGACACTGAAATGGTGTGTCCGCGGGGCCTGTGTCCGGTGGGAGACTGGGGTCCCGGCTGGGCCGTGGGGAACTCCAGCCTCATCCGGGACGTGGACGATGAAGAGGCCGAGACGCTGGTGCTGGACGGGCCGGCGGACCCAACGCTCTCCCCGGCGGCCTCTCTCTCCGGGCCCGGGGCCGTCTGGATCCTGGGGCACAGCACGTCTCCACCCGGGGCACTCTGGGCTTTGCTCAGCGCTTCGGGAAGCGTCTGCAGCTCCGGAGACGAGCTGGACTGTTTCAGGGGCGTGGGGGAGAAGGTGAGCTCCGGGTCATGTGGTCCGGGGCTCAGCGCGGGCTGGTCGATCGGGATCCCGCCTTCACTCACCTCCTCCAGCGTCGACTTATCCTCCTGACTCGACGTCGAGGACGACTTGAGATCACAGAAATCACACCAATCAGTCTTTGGTTTATAAATGTCAATAAAGTAAAATTGCTGGCCGATAATATATTAGTCTATCACTAGCAGTGCTGCGGAGAAACTGCACACTGACACTATATTAACTGAAAATAAATGTTATTATTACCAATTATTCATAGTACTTATTATTATTATTATATAAGTGTAAATAATGCATATAAATGTAAATAGAATATATATTAAATATAACTATTAACTCCCTCTGTCATATATGTATATATAAATGGGAAAAAAAATATATATATATATGACTAATATTGTGATTATTAATATATAATTATATGAATATATATATGTATTTGAAAACAAATGTGAATTAAAAAAAACTATAAAACATAACTACATATAACAAAAAATATGTGTGTGTGTATATATATATAACAAAAACTGCATGTGTGTACATACATAATATATAAACACACACACACACACACAACTTTTGTTATATATATATAACAATAATAACACTAATATTGTGATTATTAAATGTTATAATTACATGAATATTGATAATTATTAAAATTCACTATTTTATTCACATTATTAATATTATCAATATTCATGCAATTATAAAATTTAATAATTACAAGATTAGTGTTATTATTGTTATACATGTTATTAATATTGTGATTATTAATATATAATTATATGAATATTACTAATGTGAATATATATATATTTGAAAAACAAATGTGAATTAAATAACTATATTACATAATATGTAATATAACTATATATAACAAAAACTCTGTGTGTGTGTATATATATATATATATATATATATATATATATATATATATAACGTAATAATTGCATGCATGTGTGTACATATATATGTGTATGTATATGAAGAGTTCAGATGCAAAAGCCTCTAAATGCCATTTGAAATTTTCTTCTTTAATGACGATTTTTATCAAACTTGTATATTTAAGTTCAGTAATTTCACTTAAATGGCAATGATAATTACCTATTAACTGTTATTTAAGTGAAATTACTGAACTTAAATATACAAGTTTGATAAAAATCATCATTAAAGAAGAAAATTTCAAATGGCATTTAGAGGTTTTTGCATCTGAACTCTTCATATGTTTTATATATATATATATATATAAAACAAAAACTGCATATGTGTACATACATAATATATATGTATGTGTATATATATATATATATATATGACACACACACACAGTTATATATATAACAATAATAACACTAATATTGTGATTATTAAATTTTATAATTACATGAAAATTGATCATATCAATAATGTGAATAAAATAGCGAATATTAATATTGTGATTTTTTAATTATTGTACTCTGATAATGATGGTGATTATTATTGTATTTATAAATAAATAGCAACAATAATATATTAAATGAATGTGTTTTACCCGGCTCAGCATGCCGGCTGGTGTCGGAATGGTGCTCATGAAGATGGGTTCAGAAGGAACGGCCTCGAACTCCTCCTCCTCCTCCTGCGACTCCGCCGGTGACGCGCCCGTCCTGCTCGGCACACCCTCCTCCAACACAACGGAGTCTGTGGGACGGCAGCGAGAGCACAGTCAACAAGACGGCGTCACGGCGGACTGTGCTGGATCCACGAGCAGAGGAGCGTCTACCATTAGTCTAGGAACTCTCCTAAAGTCACTCTAATACATGCACAGCCAAACCTGCACTAACACACTCTGATCACACACAAGCTGGACACATAAAGCAGGATCAGTACGTGATTGGACACTGAAAGGCTTTACAGAACATGCTGCTTTCAGACACCCAACGAGAAGAGAAATGAGAGTTGAAGAGTGTCATCTGTATGCTAATGTACCTCTGAAAGTTAACAAAAGCAGATACACACTTTTAACGGCCTCTCTCTTGCTGGAAAATAAATCCAAAATCATGATGACATCATGTTACACTCATTGGTGCATCTACTATAAATATTTACTCAATAATATGCTAACCTTTAAATTAAAAATAGTACTTCAATCCGATTGAAGTGACAGTGATAGTATGGCTGGATGTTTTACTGTAGCTAAAAATTATTTACTCTCAGAAAAATATTTTCTTGTATGCAACAAGTATGCAAGTAATAAAATGGCTAATAATCGCGATTAATCGCATCCAAAATAAAAGTTTGTGTTTCCATAATATATGTGTGTGCAATGTGTAGTATTTTGGATATATATAAAAACATACACATGCATGTATATTTAAGAAAAAAATATTATTTATATTTATATATAATACAAATTATATATAAATCTACATACAGTATATACATGGAAATATTTCTTAAATATATACAAGCATGTGTGTGTATTTATATATATATATATATATATATAAAATAATTATACACAGTGCACCCACATATATATTACGTAAACGCAAACTTTTATTTTGGACGCGATTAATCGCGATTAATCGTTTGGCAGCCCTACTTATAAAAGCGTCTGCTAAATGACTAAATGTAAGATATTTTAAATACCAATGCATTGAGAGTCATTTAATCAATTGCAATATCTAATTCAGTTAAATGTTTAATTGACTGACAGCCCTAATATGAAGGTAAATGCACGTACATACAATTATTTATTGATATAATAACACATCAACATTCTTGAACTTAAAATAAAACGGTCACAATAGGAAAACTAAAAGCTAAAAGTTGATTAAACCTGAAAAATGCTATTTTTAAAATATCAAAATATCATTTTTAACCTAAAACATTGATGCTGAATGAAAAATCTTCACATAAAAGTGAAATGTCAGTTACTCTTGATCTGTATAGAAAGGCTGAAACCTTTCTTTCCATCCGCATGGCCCGTCTCTCGCAGAAACACTTTTATGCGAGTCAAATTCAAATCACACGCATAAAGGGAATACATTACCAGATGACAGAAACTGGCAGCTTTAGAAGAGAAAGATGCCTTTCAGGTCAAATTCATGGATGAAAGAAGAAGAGCAAAGGGAAGAGAACAGAGCTCCAGGAGAAAAAAAAAAATCACTTGTTCTCACGATTGGCTGAGTTCACCTTTGATTAGTCGGTTTGTTCTGGTGTTAATAAAGAGCCACATACACACTAGATATATATATATATCTACCTGCCCAAGAAATACTCCTGTGAAACCTGCCGGGTGTATCAGGGGAGCAGAGAGAGCTGAGCGCGCCCACTGCAGCGCACACACACACACACACACACACAGAAACCAACACAGGGACACCCATGAACATCGCATGGACCCAGATGACAGAACAAAACTACAGTCAGAGTCTCAGGCTGAGAGAGCATGATCTGTAAAGAGGTCTGGATGGCAAATACTTTCTCATTGTGTTTATTTCGTTTGTTTCGCTCTCTCAGCGTAGATGGCGGCAGGAGGTTCGCTATAGTGTTGCACGGTGCACCGATACTAGAGCCCGACCGTTAAAGGATGCCGATTTGAAGGCCGATACCGATACAAATATTTTTGGGTTTTAAAATCCGATATTCCGATATATGGGCCGATATTTATTTTTTTCAGAAACGCGCAACAAAACATTAACAGATTTCCCTAAGATTAGTTATTTGTAGTTATTTATGAGTTTTAACTAAAATAATATGATAATGCATTGTAAAAAGAAACTTGTATAATAATTTAGCAATGGATAACGTCATACTGCAAATTGTAAAACATACATTTTCAATATAACAGGCTGAGGATTGATGATATGAGTCATTGCTATAATGGTCACGCGCTATTAAAGAAATACTTCAGTCACATTGTCAAAAGTTAAAAGGACAGTCAGTCAACTACACCGTAACAACGTAACGTAACTATTACTAGCTAATTCCGCCTCACTCTCGGCTTATTTAACAGCAAAACTGGACATGATAGTCACAAATTTTGTCATGCTTATTTGAGTTGAGAGAACTGATGGGGATGATCTTTTAATTGTTATTCAAGCAATGTATGTCTCGTGACCAACTCAACGGGACGGTATAGAGTGCCCTCTGGTGGACAAACCATACAACTCCAACACTCATGACATGATTCAAGCGTGTTTCGTCCGTTTTTATTTTATTTTTGAAATATTCATTTATCGGCCATTATAACTGCCGATACGATAGTTTGGAAAATGCCTAATATCAGCCGATAATATCGGCCTACCGATATATCGGTCTGGCTCTAACCGATACTTCAAAAGTATCGCGATACTCGGAAATTAAAAACCTCATGATACCTAAATTTATTAGTATCGATACTTTTATGAATGACCGCGACCCAGATTTGTAAGAGACGTATTTCATGTTGGTGTGTGTCTTGTCACGCTTCCAGTCTCTCCCTATGAAAGTCTGTGTTTCTCCTCACGCACGCAAGCTGCAGCTGTCATGAGACAAACACTACCGCGAGACGGCTGCACGCGCGAGCACACGTGATACAGTGGCTGCCTGTCAGTAGCGGAGTGGCGTTCAGGAGAGTCGGATCTTTTCCCGGTGGGGCGGTGGTGTTGAGGCCGCGAGGGCCGGTCTGATAGTTATACATTGCAAGTTATTAGCAACACAATCCAGAGGTCTCTGCAACGGCGATAGTTTGAAGCGCGCGTCCGTGTGAAGACGGTGCACGACTGCGGGAGCCGCAAAAGACACTGTATCCAACTGATAGCAGCGAAAAAGAGCGGTGCTTGATTTAAAAAAAAACAAAAAAAAAAACTGATTTTAGCGTTAGATCTCTTATTTAATAGCGAACTAAATGAATTATCTGCCAGTTAACTGGAGATGTTTCATTTATTTTTGTATTAGGTGTACAACTTTCCCCCCAACTTTCATAGATAGCATAAATAATTTGCAAGCTGCTAAAATAAAGGATACAAAACATCAGCAAAATGATCTATCGGCTATATGATTATAATCAGAGCATGTGCATGTCAGTGATTTATTTATCTTAATTTATTACAGCATTAAAGAGCACAGACCTATGCTAAGGAGGTGCATATGAAACGCCTTGTAAGAAATACTTTCCTTTTCAGGAAAAGTATCGAAAAAGTATCGAAATCGCAATACTTGACTTGGTATCGAAACAATAATTTTGGTATCGTGACAACACTAGTTCGCTAACAGTGCATCACTGCAAATGCAAGTGAAGATCTTAGAATTGCGTCGGGCGCAAGAGTCATTTATCCCGCCAGTTAAATAGCAACAGCGCCGAGATCCGCCCACAAAGATACTTGCGCTTTGCGCTTGACACTTGCGTTTTAAATCGTCAAAATAGGGCCCCGGGGCGACTTGCACGTACTGTGACTGGGTCACGAGCTTTGAGTATGTGCACGAATGTGGGTACGACTGTTTGATTGACTCATTTCCTGTCCAATGATTCAAGGTGGTCTTGGAAATGATTGGCTGGGGGTTTGAGTCCTGCCCGTTCCACAGATGATTCAATTGCCTAATTTTATTTCAGTGCTTCTAACTCAGAGGCTGTAAGTGGGTTAGGAATAGGATTTCAAGTGATTTTGAAAAAATGGTGGAAAAAGAAAACCACATACCCCACCTTTAAAGGAGTAGTTCACTTTTAAAAAAAAACTTTTGCTGATAATTTACTCACCCCCATGTCATCCAAGATGTCCACGTCTTTCTTTCTTCAGTCGAAAATAAATTAAGGTTTTTGATGAAAACATTCCAGGATTTTTCTCCATATAATGAACTTCAATGGGGACCAAACGGTTCAAGGTCCAAATAAGGGTCTTATCAAGCGAAACGATCGCTCATTTAATAAATAAATAACAACGTTTAAGTTTTAGAAGCTCAAATGCTCGCCTTGCTCTGTTCTGTGATGAGCGTTCGTGACTCTCCTGTTCGAACTCGGTCATCAAAATGAACAAATCTTTTCCAGAGTCAACTCGTTCATTTCGTTCGTTGAATGAACCAAATGACTCTAAAAAAAGATTCGTTCATTTTGACGAACGAGTTTGAACAGGAGAGTCACGAACGCGCATCACAGAACAGAGCGAGGCGAGCATTTGAGCTTATAAAACTTAAACTTTGTTATTTATTTATTTAATGAGCGATCGTTTCGCTTGATAAGACCCTTATTCATCGTCTGGAATCGTTTAAAGCCCTTTGAACAGTTTGCACTGAAACTGTCTTTTGAACCTTGAACCATTTGGTTCCCATTGAAGTCCATTATGTCGAGAAAAATGCTGGAATGTTTTCATGAAAAACCTTAATTTCTTTTCGACTGAAGAAAGAAAGACGTGGACATCTTGGATGACATGGGGGTGAGTAAATTATCAGCAAAAGTTTTTTTAATCAGTTGTGTGTGTAATCTCATTTCAGCTGTGTATAAACATCAGCGATCAGACGCTGGAGTCGTGCGGCTCACCGGTGTTGGACCGCTGGATGGGACAGGGCCTGCCCTGCGGGGGAGCTCCAGGGGCATCGCTCCGGGGCTCCTTCACCCCGTCCATGGCCATCAGCACGCTGGACAGCTCCTGCAGCGGCAGGTTCCCCAGCTCCGAGGAGAAGGGGCTCGGCGGGTTCTCCAGACACATCAGCCAGCTGGTGTTCCCTGAGCAAAGACAGACAACACACGAGAGCAGATTTACAGAATCAGGCAAATGCCAACTGGAAAGCAATAAGGTAGGAGAGGCTGTGCTGTATCAGGAATAAGTCACGGCTGAAGGGCTCAGGGATTTGTTTTATTAAAGCCAAAAAATAAGCATCAATGCAACTTTCATGAAGAAAAAATAGTCCCTGACCGTGAACAGCAACAGAAGTGACATTATTTCATAATTGCACAATCGATTGGACCAACCAACACAAGTTTCAAAAACGAAAATAGGGAATCGATTTTAACAGCCTTTTTTTTTTTTTACCAAAAATGTAATCAATACAGATCACACAGACATGTAGGATGTTGGAAAACAACAACGTCTTTTCGGTTATTCGCTATTACTTTAAAGGGGTCATGAACTGGCTTTTTAAATTGTATTATATTGTTGTCTGAGGTCAACTTATGACGTTCGCTTGGTTTTTGCATTCAAAAAAATCAAAATGAATAAGTAATTTTCTACCCTAGTTTTGAGCATAGCTTCAAAACGCTCGGTTTTTATGGGCGTCTCGCACTGAAGACTTGGAAGTAAACGCGCACTGCTGTGAGTGGATAACAGTTTTGCATATTATGAGTTTCACTCTTGATCCGGTTTGTCATCACGAGGTAGGCATCTATGTTATTTAGCAATGCTTGTAATGCGCGAATCAGTGGGCGGGGCTAAACTGGC